GAGTGTGTGTGTGTGTGTGTGCGTGAGTGAGTGTGTTTGTGTGAGTGAGTGTGTGCATGAGTGTGAGTGTGAGTGCGTGCGTGAGTGAGTGTGCATGAGAGTGTGCGTGAGTGAGTGTGAGTGTGTGCGTGTGTGTGAGTGAGTGTGCATGAGAGTGTGCGTGAGTGAGTGAGAGTGTGTGCGTGAGTGTGCGTGTGTGTGAGTGAGTGAGTGTGTGCGTGAATGAGTGTGTGTGTGTGAGTGTGTGCGTGAGTGAGTGTGTGTGTGCGAGTGTGTGAGTGAGTGTGAGTGTGAGTGTGAGTGAGTGTGAGTGAGTGAGTGCGTGAGTGCGTGAGTGTGAGTGTGAGTGAGTGTGTGTGTGAGTGAGTGTGTTTGTGTGTGAATGTGTGCGTGAGTGTGCATGAGAGTGTGCGTGAGTGAGTGTGAGTGTGTGCGTGATTGTGCGTGTGTGTGAGTGAGTGAGTGTGTGCGTGAATGAGTGTGTGTGTGAGTGTGTTCGTGAGTGAGTGTGTGCGAGAGTGTGTGTGTGTGAGTGTGTGTGTGAGTGTGTGCGTGAGTGAGTGTGTTTGTGTGAGTGAGTGTGTGCATGAGTGTGAGTGTGAGTGCGTGCGTGAGTGAGTGTGCATGAGAGTGTGCGTGAGTGAGTGTGAGTGTGTGCGTGTGTGTGAGTGCGTGAGTGTGCTTGAGTGTGAGTGAGAGTGAGTGTGTTTGCTTGAGTGTGAGTGAGTGTGTGTGTGTGAGTGAGTGTGTGCATGAGTGTGAGTGCGTGTGTGTGTGCGTGAGTGAGTGTGCATGAGAGTGTGCGTGAGTGTGTGTGAGTGTATGTATGAGTGTGAGTGTGAGTGTTTGTGTGTGCGTGTGCGAGTGTGTGTGTGTGTGTGTGTGTGTGTGTGTGTGTGCGAGAGAGCCGGATCACACAGAGGATGTTACACAACAGCGGCGTGACACAGAAACCTCCTCCAGGTGTTACCTGATATGGTCACCAGCACATTGAGTCCCTCCAGAACGTCCATCTGCTGGAAGCGTCTGCGGCTGATGAGCGGGTAGACCTTGCCCTGACCGCTGCGATCCAGCAGCATGAGGCCGCTCTCTGTGCCCACCAGCAGATTCACTCCTGCAGACACACACGTCACAGCTGATCCACTGAACACATCACGCCAGAGCTGCCTAAAGAGGGTATCAACACACTCCAGCCAGCTGATGGTTCAGATGACACTGTTTTTTTTTTTATGTATTTGAATAAGTACATAACCGGCCAGTGTTCGAAACTATCTCCTTACTTTAGCCCGATTCACAATGGTCAGGTTATAATAATGTTTTCTAATTTGAGTGGTACGGGCAGGTATTCATGGGAAATTCGAGCATGGCACTGCGTCATTACGTCACGTCTGTAAACATAAAGAAGTTGTCCCGGCTACTAGGCTATCGCATGTGAGGATCCTGCAGGTGGCGGATCGTTTATAGCCTTTTCTCACAGCAGCCGGAATAATTAAATTTATTATTTTGATGGCGGATTGTAATCCAGAAAGGATTATGTGTTTATGAAACACATGTGAATGAAATTAAATTATATTCCAGTTATAAATGTGCTTCTGATTACAGATAGCCTGGGATTACACAAGATTTGTATTTTAAAGAAAACCAGTTCGAAGGGAGCATAGTTTGCGTTTTGGGTTAAAAGAATTTCCTTATATGAAATTCAAATGGTGTGATAATTAGATTAGACTGTGCAGAAATTGAAATCTACACGCTAATACACGTAGTGCCGATGTTGTTAACAATAACAATTTGAGAAAAAATAATTTGCATGGTTTGATTTGATATGAGCTAATTAAGCGATCGTTAGATTTAATCACCATTGGTAGTGCAATTTATTGTAATGCTTTTTCCTCAGTTGGTCAGAACAGAAGTGTCAGACTTGTTACTCGTTCAGATGTCATTATCCGGTGAAAATGTACAACCCACGTAATGAAGATAATTCTGCAAATAGCTGCACTTGCAGGTTTCAAACAGAGATGGAGACAAAGAGGCAAAACTTACTGACTGCAGCTTTAATTTAAGAAGAATATAACTAGGACATATAATGTAATAGTGTAAATGAATCAGGATCTGTGAGAGATGCGTTTCTCATCAAAATAATGCTTTGCACATGTAAGACATAAAAGCTCATTTGCACTGGCATATCAATATCACAGAGCGTTAGTTCCTCAGATTCTGGGCTTTTATTTACAGTTAGAGTGCTGGTGAATCTGGTCTTTGGGCTCAGGAATCATGCCCTGCGGTTACTCACCCCAGAGCGCAGCGCACAGGATCTCTGAATTGAACCTCTTCTTGTACTTGCGGATCTCTGGCGTGTCGTTCTGGGGCCGTGTGTTGACAGGGTTGACGTTGACCACCGATCCTTTACGAGACGCGTCCTGCCGCAGAGCCTCCTGCAGTCGAGCATCATTACTGTAACCTGAGCAAACCAGACAACATCCAGCAGGCCTCGTTATTTAGATAGCACTTTCACAATACACATCATTTCAAAGCAGCTTCACAATGAACACAATCATGCTTCAGTTTGTTTAGAATATCTTCTTGCCTTAAAATCACATTTAGCAGATTAGCGCTGGACGATACCAGCAGATTTACTCTATAGCAGGGGTCTCCAACACGTTGCTCGCCGAGACATACTTGACATATTTGACATAATGATCCCGTTTCATATTTTAATTATCATTAAACTCGTGTTTGATTATCGTGATTTGAAAAACTCACAGTAAATACTGCTCAGCTTTAATCAAAGTTAAGAGTTTCACGCAGACGCAACACGCAGAGTATAGTTTCGTTTTGTGTGAAAACATGACTGAAGGCAGACTGCTGAGGGAAATTATATGAAAGAATGTACTGTATGATTGAATTATTTGCATGAATGTGTAATAGGAAACCGACTGTCTTCAGAAAAGCTTCGATGGCATTTGCTTTCCGTGTAATGCGTAATAAAGCAGAGGTTACCGTGGAAACAGCTCTGTTCTGCTGTTCATAAGCGCCACCTGCTGTCAAACTGTGGATTTACATTGAATTCATTCAGTCTGTCTGCCATATTTTTGTTCAGACCAATGCGAAAATTGGACCAAGTTTTTGTTGTAAACCTTAAAGGGGTTCTATTATGCTTTTTCACTTTTTCAACTTTAGTTAGTCTGTAATGTTGCTGTTTGAGCATAAAAAAGATCTGCAAAGTTACAAAGCTCAAAGTCCACTTCAAAAGGAGATATTTTATTTAACAGAAATCACTTTTCAAAAACTACGCCCCAGCCCAGCTAACCAATCAGAGCACACATCAGCCCAGCTAACCAATCACAACACACACCGGCCCAGCTAACCGATCACAGCACACACTGGCCCAGCTAACCGATCACAGCACACACTGGACCCGCTAACCGATCACAGCACACACTGGACCCGCTAACCAATCACAGCACACACTGGCCCCGCTAACCAATCACAACACACACTGAATGTAAAATATGTGAAAAATAATGTGTTTTTCGAACAACCTAGTATGAGAGCCTGTTCTAGTACACCCCCAAAACAAAATCAAGACTTTGTAAAAGAGCATAATAGGACCTCTTTAACCGGTCGATGGAAAATAGGCTACCTTAACTGTTATCAGAAGTGTTGAGATTTTTAGAATGCACATTAGCTTATGTAGAACTGTTTATGGAGCAGATTGGAAAATGTAATTTATCATTCTGACTTTTTATAAAAAAAGATTTTAAGGCTGAAATGTTATAATTTTATTTTTAAAAAATGGTCAAAACTTTATTTGAACATGTAGTACATGTCAGTAGATAACATGTTATGACTATTTTTTGTTAGTTGAAAAAACGGTCATCGTTTTTGTCACGGCCCGGTACGAAGCACCGAGGAGAAACTGGGTCTGGGTCCACATGCAGGTGAAAACTTATTTTTAATGAACAGAAAGGCCAACAAGGCAAAACAAAACAGATCTAGGAACGACAGATACGAATACATTGACAATACAGCCAGGCAGAGTGGTGAGTGAGAGGAGAAGATATAGTCTGTGACAATGGGGAACAGCTGAGGGTGAGTGTGATGAGTGAGTGACTGAACAGGTGTATGGAGATTGGGGAATTAGTGTAATGAGTGAACAGGTGTATGGGGTTTGGGGAATGGAGTCCGGGAGATGGCGCCCTCTGGAGGAGAGAGGGAGAAACGCAGGGCCCAGACTCATGACAGTTTTTTTATGTTTTTATTTAATTGTTAATGCAAACAAAAAGTGGATAGTGCTGCTAATTTTTGCTGGCTTTAGTCAAAACTTGGTAAAATGATTTCAGTGTGTGTATCAGTACGTTTTTAACATTTCCAGCACATTTTAACAATACCGTGTATAACAGTTTGGACTGATACATTATTTAAGAGATTTAAGTATTGTGTAATATGCTTTCATTTTTAAAAAGTAGCTCCCGAATGAAATAAGGTTGGAGACCCCTGCTCTATAGTATATATTGGTCTGTGTGAGTGCACTGTATGTATGCAGATGAATCTGTAATCTCAGAGAGGAAAAAACAAAACATTTACCCCCAAATTCTGTAATGCACTTCTTACAATTCCCATTATTGATTTTTTAGTCACTAAATGAAATACTGTTCAACAAACTGTAGTGAGCAGCATTCATTGGGGCACGCCATGAGTATGAGTCTCTGACTGCAACAATGGACAAAGGTTTTATACATTTTGACTGGATCTTGGCAGACTAACATAACTAAACTGTCCAACTCCATCAGATGAAGACGCCAGGACAAGAGCCAGACTCCTCTCAGAGGACAAGAGCACCACCTCTGGCAGCAAGCCCGGGAAGGACAGGTCTCACCTATAACCTTAGGATCTCGAAACAAAGACAGATCACAGAGAAATCCATTCATATGCTTTTCAAACCTTAAAACTGATGCAAACTACAACACACCCTTCTTACACTTAGTGTAACCAGTCAGGACTGAAATTTAAAAAAAAGAGACAATACCAGCATTTCCCACTAGCACTTGAGTGGATTCTTACTCAACAGATATGACTGTGATTGGCTACAATGATCGGTGCTTTAGACAACTCTACTGTAATTCATACTTATACTTCTATTTAAAGGGGTCATATGATGCGATTTCAATTGTTCCTTTCTCTTTGGAGTGTTACAAGACACATTTCATTACACCAAATACACAAAATAATGTTCTTTTTAGCAACATCATATGACCCCTTTAATAGAAGTGTCAAACTGAAATCTCGTGCTCACTGCAAAGGGATGAACTCTGAGTGTAGTGAGTCTCCATCCCAGAGAAAGCAGACTGACCAAGTTTTGGACCAAATTAGTAACAAGGTTAAGCTCCGGCGAGCAAAGCTTCACTTCAAGGTACTTTCATCTGCGTGTTCCAGATCTTAGGAGTCCTGCAGCGCTTCGTCTTCAAGCTGCTGAACCGATTCCCCCAAGAAGGCTTACTTTCCTTCAGCATTTTTTCTTTTGATGTTTTGTTAGATTCACTAATGAAAATTTGCAGCACTTAAGATCTGACAAGAGGTCAAATGATTGACATGACAATCCTATCCTGATTATTATTAAATCATCTAAATCTCTGTCATGTTCTGTACTGTTCAAAATATTCTGGGTTCAATCAACAACATTTGTGCCATAATGTTAAATACCACAAAAAAATGCGTTCGACTTGTTTGTGTTGTTCTTCAGAAGCAGCATAACTAGAGTTTGTCTCTCTCCTCACACAGGAGTGGTGGAGCGAGACCATCACACTTACCAGCATTATTGAGCGCGCTGCCGGTGGATGGAGAGACCTGCAGGAGACGCGGGTCAATGAAGGGCGTGAAAGACGAGGAAGACTTGTGCTTCGGCACGGTGGGAGTCTGTGAGAACACAACACAGAGCAGAATAACACTGAACATTTAAGCCTTCTCGAGTTTATGAATTATAATAATGCTTGTAAAAAGCATTCTAACAGCTACGACTAAACACACAGATGACAAAACATGCTGAATGTCTTGATGGTGGTTGGTGGAAAAAAAGGATGAATTGACTGATGAAAACCGCGATCATTACAATTCTAAGAAAGAGAGTAAAAAGCGGGGACATGGATGCAAGCAAACTGAAGGTGTCTGGCTAAATACAAACAAAAGGTGAACATTAATTTCATTAATTTTTCTAAAATATTACATAGTTTTATAGAAGGAGGTTTCATAGACTTGGCAAATTAATTTTTCAAAAGTTTGTATAGACATCTGTTATGGGCGTTCTTGGCAGTGATTCTGAGGCTTTTTAAAATATTGTTCATATCGATATCGGGATTATATCGTATCAACCAAACTAAAGAAATATATTGTGATATAAATTTTGGCTATATCGTCCAGCCCTACGATCCAAAGAAAGAATCTACATACATCAGCAGTTTCTGATCTAATTTCAAAATCTGAAGCAAAAACAGAATGGTCTAACTTTATCTTTGTGAAATTATGCTACATAAAATATATCTGCAGGAAACAAAAACAGCACACTGGTTGATTAAGAGCGCAAATTCACTCTCTGCCAGCAGGTGGCGCTTATGGAACAGCAGCAATGCAGCGTTTCCCTGGTTACCGCTGTAAACAAAGCAGCAAATTACAAATTTTTCTCTAAATAAAAGTGACATCTACCAGTCATAAGATTTGCGTTTTTCTTGCATTTTATTTGTTAACAACATCAGCTTTCCACAGCATTTCTATGAACAACAAAAAAATGTTGTGTCATTTAAATCTACCAATCAATATAAATTCAATTTGAATACAATGAATGGGATTCTGTGATGTTTCATGCTGCATTCGAAAGCTTCAAAACGAATCCACACACACCAAACATATCATAAAAGTAGCCAAAACAACTGGCAGTTCTCCAAGTTATACAACAGATTTGTTTAATGAATGGACCAAACTTTAAGTGATTACTTCACTGATAATCCTCTCTATGGAGAAGCGACCGGCACAAAATAATTGCTGAAAATTGACAGAGCTCGTTTCCCAAAGCAACTACGGTCACAAGTAACTTAATGTCATTATAGTTCAATGTAATTTAACAAACACAGTTCGCTAAAGATGCTTTTGGAAAACACACCCCAGATCTATCCAGTTTAATGTGAACCATTCACACTGGTTTCGTTAAACAAAATAAAGGATTCATTTAAAAGATTGAATCAAAAGAATCATCTATTGAAATTTAGTTGCAAAAAAGTGTTGTCATAATACAGTATAACAAGTTTAATAACTTTTCTCTTATAACAAAAATAACTTTTAAATGACAAAAACTTTGTAATTTAAATACAATAAAGAAATACACAAAAAATACATAAAGTTAACATTTTTACACAAATTAAAGTGCAAAAGAATTATAAGGACCAATAGGTATCACTTTACAATAAGTTCTCATTAGTTAACCTTAGTTAATGCATTAACATTCACAATGAGCAATAGCCACATTTGCTACAGAAGTTATTAATCTTTGTTTAAAAAATACAAGTCTTAGTTCATGTTAGCTCATTAAATAACACGG